GGGAGCATCTGGCCGGAGGCATTGGTGACTAGAAAGGCCAGTCAGCACAGGAAAAATGCACGGGGACCTTAGTGCAAATGAAGAAGAAAGCCAGCGAGATCCGTCCAGGCTGGAGCAGAAGGCCTGGGGGCAGAAGTCAGGTGGTTAGGAAGCCAGACTGGGGGTCTGGGAAGACCTGGACCTAGGGCAGGGCCCAGGCTGCACAACAGGAGTAAGAGCAGAGGAAATCGGGGTGCAGCTGTGGCTAGGTGGTCAAACCCAGGCTCATGCCCACTGGCGCCAGGTCAGACAGCAGGCAAGGCTGTGTCCCAGGGGCAAAGGGCAGAGTGCCCACCCTGTGATTTGTCCCCACCTGGCATTGCCTGGGGCATCTGCAATCAGCGCACTTCAAGCAAAATACCCTAGAGGAGCCCCTCCAGACGTGTGTGTGTGTTAATGCTTTTTGCCTCCCAGTTTTTTTTCCATCTCAGCTGCTGCTGTGAAGCCAAGTTATCAATCCTGTTTGGTGGTGTGGATCCTTCTCATCTGTGCAATTTAGGGGCAGACTCTTGAACACAGAGCAATTGCCCGATGACTTTAGCGATGTGGATGGACTCTGGATTACGTAGCTCTCTTGTGCCTTCAATAAACATTGATTTATTGCGTTCTGAGCAGCTCTCAGCATTCCTTAGGTGAGGGAGAGGCATGAGATGGGGCCTAACAGTGTTGTGTGCTGGTGGCCATTGTCGGAATGTTATTGTCACACAAGGACTCACTCTGGGTTGGGGTTATTGAAACAGAGAAACCATTTTCTTATAACTTGCTTTTTACATCCTAATTCTGGGCATGACCTAACTCACTCAGCTGAGACATTTTTCCCCTGTGATATGAAGCTATGTTGCTAAGCAACTAGATCAGTAATTGGTAAATGCTTATATATGATTTGATTTGAGTCACATATAAATATCTGTAACTGTTTTTTTTGTCTTCATTATTAGGCAAATGATTATCATTTGGTTTTATTTTGCCCAAATAAAATAAAATAACTGCTTTCATTTAGCAAATTGCTTAATAGCATGATGTACTGGAAAGACCCTGGGTCTAGAAGACAGAAAGCTTGAGTGCTAATCTCAAGTATGAGAATCACTAGTCCTGTGACCATGGATAGAGTCAGGTAACTACTGAGCCTTCGATTAAAAAATCTGCAGTTTGCCATACAAATACCTCTGCTGGCCTTGCAGGCCTGAGTGAGGATGGATGTGACCCTGTGTGGGAAATGCTTCAGAAAGAGTAAAGCACCCCAAGGTCTAAGCCTGACCTACAACTCCAGGCTGATTAATCTTGGGGCTTGGCGTGTGCTGGTGTAGATCCAAAGTCAGGACTGATGACAAAGCCTGAGCGAGCTTGTGCTATGGCATCAGCCGGGCACACAGCCATGGGGCAGGTCTGGGAGCCACAGAAGAAAGGAGACACATGGCATTGACCTTCAGTGAGTTAATACAGTAATGGAGGCAACACTGATGACCTGCAGAAGCGAAAGACCATTAGGTGTTAAAACACAAGATATAGACTCCTAAGCCCAACTGCTGTGAGGCTTCGGGGGAAAGGATGGTGGTCCCTGCAGCAGTCAGTGAGGGCAACTTGTACAAGCCCTTGAAAAATGGGCAGACTTTTTTAGAGAAAAATAAAGGGAAATTTAGAACAGTCATCACAGTGAGTTAACGTTATGCATTGAGTTGCAAAAATCGATCCATTTTCAAATTATAACAGGGTCTGGCTGTAGAGTTTTAGCGCAATATTGCTTGAGGTTGGTGGTCAGCGGCGTTTTGCCTCCTAGCAGTAAACGTTTTATTTGAAGTCATGTCATGAATTCTTTTCCTGCACTAATGAAATGGATTATTTACATAAAAATCAGAAAAAAAACCCCAAGACCCATATGCTTTCGGTCTCTGGGGACATGGAGATGACCTCGGTGACAGCCAATTAGAGAATGGAAAGGTGAAGGAGGGGGGTGCTCTTACTCCCGGTTTGGGGAGTTTCCAAAATGAACATGCTTCATGGCAGAGCCAGGAGACTTTTAACTGGGTGTTATTTCAACATGGAGCCTGACTGGTGTTTTTTTTGGTTTTTTACGTGTAGATGGCTATCTTAACTATGTCCAGAAGCTTGGCCTGAGACCACTGCTTCTTGTCACACAGCTTCCTTATTTATAATCTGTTGTATTTCTCTACCCCCGTGTCGCTGACCCCATAGATTTCCTAGGAGCTGCTGTGATCTGTCATGTCATTGCTGATTATCAGATAGTCTTAATCCTCAGAGCATTGAAATGCCTTCTAATGGCACACAGGCCATCGGGGCCCACAGCAGCCCCAGCCATTGTCACATTAAATTGCAGCTTGGATTGTCTTTTTCCTGCTGACGGTGGAGATTCTACCACTGACGCCTCCCCCAGGGTCAGGACCCTTTCTGTGGAGCAGATGTGGCAGGCTGAGGGCCTCACCCTGCCCTCCTCTTGAGCAGTTTTTCAGTTGTTATCTCACCAATCAATCGCCTGGGCCCAATTTAACAATTCTCAAATGACCTCTTAATTTTTATAAACCTTTTACCCACCTAGCTGAGCGTCCCACACTTGACCACCCCTCTCAGGAAAGATGAAACGCTCTCAAGACGTGGGTTAGCAACACTCAGTGTGTCAGAATGTTCAAAAGGGTAGAGAATCCTTTAAAAAGTGACTGTACTGCCTGAGATTCCTGCCTGTTCCTGAAGGAAAGTTCTGTTCTTCGTGAAACTAATAATTCTTAGAAGATCGTTAGGGCAATATTTTAGTAATCCCTAGATGCTAAGATAGGTGGACCCCAATTTAATTCTCATGAGATGCACTTAGATGGAGGGGCTTTCCATTTAAACATGTCACAGTTTTAAAAATCCAAGTTCAAATAGTCTACCACACAAATGCAAAAAAATTTAGAAGTCAGAAAATCTCCATAAGTTCTCTAATCTCTATAGAGACCTAAGACATTTCCCCCCACCTAAATAGTGGAATTCACCAGATAATTACCTCATTTAGTTTTAGATCTGGACAATCAGAAAAAAGTCACCATCCCATGTGAAGGTCATCTCAATTCTGAACTGGTTTCTGAATTCATGTGTCATCGTATTGATGTGTTAGGGTGGCTGTGTCCTGGGTGAGATGAGTAAGGCTATGGAGAGAGAGGGGTGGGACCCAGAGGGAAGAATTGAGCTCAGTAGGTTTTCATTTTTGCCAAGTTCACACCATTGCTCGTCTCCTCATAGTTTGATAACGCTTAGCGTGGCACCACTTTCTTTATAGGTGTTCGGTAAATATTAATTTCATCCTGCTAGAGAAACTCTCTTTTTTTTCTTGCAACAAGGCACAGAGAATTAAATGGAGCTTCTGGATGTTTAAAGATGTATGCTGCGCCGAATAGCTTTAGGAAAAATGTGATACTATCCGTGGTAGGAATGAGACAAGTAAATATTGCTTATAATAGCTTTTTAGATTAATTTTTTGTTGTTTGAAATCTTGTAAAACAACCCACTCATTTGCTTTTCTCCCTATGAACAAAGAACCTGCAAGGCATTAATTACACAAAATAGACCTCTAGCCAAAATGTCTTTACCTTCTCAATCCTCTCGTGACTGCTTCTCCTTGATGTCGCTGAATAATACAATTACACATGAATGATTTCCTGACCTTAACCTCCTATCTGCATGTCACTGAAGTGCTATATAAAAAGAACAGAAGCTGCTGACTTCCAAGAAATTGGAGTATATGAAATAGAGATCCAGCGGCTGATTACGATGGTGTCGAAATTAAAATATGATGTTCCCATAGATTATATGGCTATAAAATGTGACTTCTATTAATTTCTAAATTGTGGAATCGTCCTGATATTTTCATTTTGTATGCGTGTTTTAAGAACATAATTGTTAAAATATTTTATTATTATTTTTCAATTGCAGCTGACGTACAATATTAGTTTCAGTGTACAACATCGTGATTATACAAGAAAATAAGTTTTAACTGTAGTCTCAAAAGAGCCGCCTCCGTTACTGTTCTTCTGCATTGCGGCCAACAGAGGCTCCCCTAAATGGAATAGAAATTCCAGGGTCATTTCAGAAGGGATTTTGGAATCGTCTGATTTTCCAAATGCATGCTCACTTACCCTGATGTTCCCTATAAATGGTTTTTTAGCCACCTCTTGGAAACTTCCAGTAACAGAAGGCTCACCATTTCCTGAAGCAGACCCATGCTGGTGGCTTATCGTGTTTACCAAAATGTCCCTTCCACTTACAAGCCACCTGCTTGACCTGCCACCTGCGCAGAGATTGTGCAGCACAGCACGAGGCGCCCAGACCTAGATTCATCCTGGGCTCCACTATCTATTATGTACCTTTGAACTCCCTTCTAGTAAGTTCGCCCTGTGTGCTAACCACTTTACAGGCTCTTATTTCATTTTCATGAAAAGTCTACGAAGGTAGGTTCTATTTTTGCTGTGTCCTGCTCTGCAGAAGTTGAGGCTTGCTAGGAACATGCGTGATATTGGTAACGATGGTGGTAGGCCCGAAGAAGAGCCACGCGGTGACCAAGGTGTCACATAACTCACAAGGTGACCACATAACTCACAAGGGCTCCCCCACTGCAGTTCACACTGGGGAAGTGATGCAGCGATTAACCCAACAGGCCCTGTGTATCCCTAAAGATGCCCAGTTTCATTCACACTTAGGCCGAGTGTTTGTGGGTAACAATTCTTCGTAAATCTCAGTTGCACGCAGAACTGGGCACTTTCATAGCTTTTTTTCTGGTCTGTAAATGATGGGGTAGCTCGTTACGTTGCTCTGTTGTAGTTCGGGGTGCTCCAGAGCACTCAGAGGGTGGAGAGAGATCTATTGAGCTTCGACGAGGGCCAGGAGGTTCTTTAGGAGAAAATGAAATGACCTGCGAATCTGATGGTACCATATTTGCCCTTATGGTTCGTTTTCTGCATTTTTCCTTGCAGAGCTGCCCAGAAGTTAAATCTGTCTTCTAAAAAGAAGAAACATCGACCTTCTACTTCTGTGGCCGAGCCACCTCTCTTTGCCACCAGCTTCAGTGGCATCCTGCAGACCTCCCCTCCCCCGGCGCCACCCTGTCTGCTGAGGGCCGTCAACAAGGTGAAGGACACCCCCGGCCTGGGCAAGGTAGGCACCTCCGCCGTCCCCACCACTGGCTCAGGGTGCGGGCTTCTGCATTGGGGCAAAAGAGGAAATCCGGGCTCCGGTTTATTTGTGTAAAAGGAGGTGACAGAGGGAAGGAGACAGACTGAAATTCACTTGGAAGTCCTGTGAAATTTTCTTTGGTTCCATATACTAAATGGTAAATTAAGATATTCCAATGATTGGACATCCTATTTGATTTTGGCACAAAAATGTTTTGCCTTGTTGGACAGGATTGTAACCCTTTAAAGAAAAGACACGAAAGACGAAGGCAGAGGCAGGAGACCAAGGGAAGACACGACACACGAATAAGACATAAGGATGCTTCGTAAATTCACGGTGACACGTTCATTGTTTTCCCCTCTTCAGAGAAATCACAGTGTCTGCTTTTGGACCCAGCCACTGATGGGATTTCTGGGGAGCGTTTTCAGTTGTGCTGTTCTAGCCAAGAAATGCAGGTTTGAATTGTGACAAATACTTACAAAGAGACACAGGAATGCTGTTTCGAGCTGTTGCTCAGCTATGCTTGGGATGACTTCGTTTTTCAATGTCATCTTTACACTCTCTCTTCTGATAACCGCTTGGGTGAAGCAACTATGGTTTAGTCTTCAATCGGTAAACAAGCCAAGCTAAAGAAAGAGGTGGCAGTTTTATTTCTTTTCTTTCCAGCAGGTTAAATCGGTGCCAACTTAGCAGGAGGGGCCCAGGCTTGGTGTTGGAAAGTTGCAGGTGTCGCCAAAGGGGGAGTGGCTGCTGATCTAGGCAGACTGAGCTTTTGTTTATTTCCATCAATTATTGACAAAATCAAATAGGATTTCCAATCACTGGAATGTCTTAATTTACCATTTAGTATATGTAACCAAAGAGCCTTCCCCTTGACCCCCAAACATGATATTCCCAGGTTCATGGTCTTCAGTGGCCTTGGCCTAACTCGGTGGCCTTTCTGGAGTGCACCCCGGTGCCCTCTGCCCATCTCCCTTTGGTGTTTTTCTCCTTTCCTAGTTTTTCCCATCTCCTCCCATGCCCAGTTCCACCACCCCATTGGGAAGGTGCCTCCTGAATCAAACCAAGAAGTCGTTTTATTTTCTACTGTCTCACTGGACTGCCCCTAGATACACTTGACCTTTAAACATTTGGGGTGGAGATAAGCGTGTCATGGGGCCATGATGATAACACTGGGACCAGCTGCCTTGGTCCTATGGAGAAGGACACGTGTCCATTTGAGGAATCATGGTTGGGAGGGAAAGCGCAGGAACAGGCAAGAGGAGACACATTAAGATCAGGGCACTCCATTCCACCCCTGCCCTGGGTCCCCCTCCCTGCTGTTTCCAGGGGCAGCTCCCCCCAGCCTCCACCCAGAGTCATTGCTGAGCACTGAGCACTTCTCCTCAGTACCTAGAGCAGATCTTGGCACACAGCAAATATTTATTGGGGACCTACTATGTGTCAGGCACCTGTGCTGGGCACTAGGCTTGCAATCATGGGCAGATGAGGCCGAACCCCACCCTTACAACACTTGTAATCTAGTGCATTGTTCCAATTAGTCTTGGACATCTCACCAACCTGTATCAACATGAAGGACAATTTGATTTAAGGAGAAGTTGGAATTACAGACTTAAAATAATTCTGCCTAACTCGGAAATGATATAATGAAGCTCTACTACTAAGTGGCCTTGTAAAGACCTTCTTAATGAATAGATAAAGATGATTAGTGGATCAAAGCAGCTTAGTCCCTGTTTATATTTCATTGATTTGGCTTATATGTAAATGATACTTCTAATCTGTTTGGAAATGGTTCCTTCCCCTAAGTCGGTAACTGCTCTTAGTGAAATTTGTTTGCGCAATTAATTAACATCCATGCTTAAGGTTAATTTGTTAGTGTGTCACAGCTTAATGTCAGAGCGCTTCGTCTTGGATTATAAGCTTCTAGAGCAGTTCACATGATCTGTGTAACTCATTATGCATATGACTCCAGCCATGTACAGTATTAATTGTATATTATTTTTAGGTATATAACATAGTACTTAGACACTGATATACCTTATGACATGACTATTACTCAGCCATGAAAAAGAATGAACTCTTACCATTTGCGACAACATGGATGGACCCAGAGGGTATCGAGCTAAGTGAAATAAGTCAAACAGACAAAGATAAATACTGTAGGATTTCACTTATACGCCTTTAGAGGTAAGAATGGTAATGGTGCAATTGCATTGGTGATGACAGTCCACCTGTGGGTTGGCTAATTCTCCAGAGAAATAATCTCTTCATAATAATTCCTTCATCATCTCTAGGAGTGTATCAAAAAGAGGGAATGGTCAGCACCCAGCCTTTCCCCCCAAAAAACATGTTTTGGGGATGTAGGAAAGCTCTTGGAGGTGAGCGCCAGCAGCAAGAGAAGAGACTGTGGAATTTGGAAAGGTCATAGAAAATCGGACGGAGCAAACATGAAGAGGAATTGCGGGACGTTAAGCTGGGGACAGGCTGAGGAGCGCTTGCCATAGTTGATTCATTCCGAGAATATCTACAGATGTACTGTGTTCCAGATACTGCAGTAGGTGTCACTGTAGGGGACACTACAAAGGAGCTGATGGGCTACTTTGGGCCACAGCCCTGCTGAGGAAGAGGAGGGTATATCCTGATTTCCATACACTGTAGGTCCCCGTGAAATGCTTGCCTGGCGTTCAGCTTCAGCCACCACTTCTCTGCTACAATGATGTTTCCTTCTCCTTGGGGTCCCCCCCTTGGCCTAGTCTGGGCAGAAGCGTGTGTGGTATCCGTTATGGTGGGTCCCCATCACCACCCGTGCCCGTCCCCCTGTGCATTTCTGAGCTTTCCCCTCTGTGGGCGGTGTGGCCCAGAGGTGGGGGATTTGGTGCAATCCTCTGACTTGCAATTTAGACGTAGCCGTCCCTGTCTGGCCGGATTGTCTTTCTCACGCAATAAAGGCTGGAGCCATTAGTCTCTGTTCTCAGTCTTCTACTTCAAGTCGTCTAGCTCTTATTTAGCACTATTTTTCAAACCCAGTGGCAGCATATTTTGACCTCTATTAAAACATACGAATATATATTCTCTAAATAATCCCCCCACCCCCCTTGGCTTATGTCACCAGATCCTGTGTAGTCGATGTTTAATTTATTTCTAAGCTTTCTCTCGTTTGGTGTGTAAACTAATCACATAGGGAAAAAAAGCAAAAAAAAAAAAAAAAAAAAAAAAAACACCTAAAAGCACCACGTGTGCTTTTGGGTAGAGACTCTTTTCCTTTACAGGTTTATTAATATTTTTTTAGGGCAGAAGCCTTTCCGTTACTAAGCCCTTGACCAACACTGTGTGGGAGCGGAGGCCAAGATTCTTATTCAGCGGACGGTTCTGATGACAAGAAGGGGAAACAAAAGGATAGGAAAATCCAGTTACAGTTAGATTTTTAAGTTACTGATGTAGGTGGCTCTTATTTATCTATTCAGCACGTGGCAGCGGCTGGTACAGGCCCCCTGTTCAGGAGGAGATGCAGGGTCGTGCTGAGGACAGCTCCAGGCCTCCCGCCCACCAAGGGGGGGCTGTTTGCAGGGGGCGGCAGGCGGAAGGTCTCTGCTCTCTCACCCTGAAGCTGCGCCGGAGGGACGGCGCAGGGAGAGCGTAAAGGGGCCTCTGCATTCCTTGCAAGCAGATGGGAGATGAATTCCCCTGCGATGGGAAAGCCTGGGTTCCCTTCTCGCTCAGCGGCGGCCCCTCCATCCTTAGACCTGCAGACGGGGCACGTGCGTGGGGGGTTGTGTGCTGCGGGGTGCGCGCGGCCAGGGGAGCGCGGTGCGGGTGATGCCCCCGATGCCCCCGATGCACCCGATGTCCCCGATGCACCCAATGCACCCGATGTCCCCGATGCACCCGATGTCCCCGATGCACCCAGTGCACCCGATGCACCCGATGTCCCCGATGCACCCAATGCACCCGATGCCCCCAATGCACCCGCGCAGGCCAGCGAGCCCCATCGCTTTGCACATGAAATTCTCAGCTCTCCCGGGAAATAAACTCGCATGACCTCCCATTCCCTGATGACAGTCGCTCTTTTCTGCACTCCGCTGGCTTTGGTTGAGCCTGCTCAGGTCCTGGAGCTCGAGCTCAGGTTTTTTTGTATTTTTCGCCCCTCCGCCTTTCCTTCCCCATTTTGACCCCTCCTCCAACCCGTACCTCCAAAGAAAGGCGAGGCCGGGAGGAGGGTCGGACTCATTCATCTTCGCCGCCTCTTTTTTTTTTTTCCCACGGAGGCAGAGGGTGTCCGCGCGGCCCCAGCGCCCGCCGCGTCTGGGCCGGCCGCACATGCGCAGGATGCAGCTGCCCCCGTCCAAGAAATTCGCGGCTCCGAGAGGCACGAGCTGCTGCTCCCAGGGCCACCCCGAATGACCTACGTCATGGGGACTTCTTCTGACACCCCCTACTATGCCCCCCTTGGAGCTAGCGGGCTTCCTTCTTGCAGATGGACAGCAATGTATTTGGAGGATGTTATCCATGCAGAGGCCACTGCACAGAAAAGTCAGGGTAAAACATGTCCAAGAAGGCGCTGTAGCATTTTGGTTTTCGCCCTTGGTATGGCTGCCTTGACTACTGCTGGTCAGGTGTATGGGTGTAATTTTCTGTCGCCGTCATTGTTAGATGGAGAGCTGGAAGGGTTAAGAAGCACATTAGATCAGATTTCAGACAGGATGGCGCATTACTATATATTTCAAATACTCGTTTTCTGGCTTTCTTTGCCCAAGATATCTACACGGGGCAAACTGGATGACAACTGGCGAAGCAGGGAGGAATAGTTTAGGCTTGTATCCCAGAAAGTTACTTGCCTTTTACCCCAGGCCCATTATCATAGCTCTGGGAGTGCAGGAATAGGAACAGAATTTACATCTATTTTCTCTATGGCGAGTCTACATTTTCCAGTTCTCTGAACTTCCCCGCCTGTGTTAGGCCGGGAGCTGGTTGTCTTCTGAAAA